AGGGAGATGAGATTGAAGTTTCTCCTTATGGAACACTCTTGAAGACCTGCAGGGTCTGAGTCCCGTCGTCCCTCGTCCCCCCCCCCCATTACTTCAGTGGCGACTGAGGTTTCTTCAGAGACAAAGGATTCGAAGAGAAGAAAGCTTCCTTCTCCTAACAGAGCCTCCAGGAAAAGAGGTAGATTACCTCTTGGAACTGAACCTAAGGAGACACCGTGTTCCGGGATGAGTACCTTCAAGGATCCTACAGGCACCAGCACCAGGGCTTTGGTACCATCAAAACCAGATAGCTCAGAAAGATAAGCCTCCTAGCAAGCACCATAGAGAGCCAATTATTCCAGCACCATCTAGGCATCAAGACTGCTAGAAGCCTAAAGACTTGAGGAAATCCAAGGCACCAGCACCATCTTCTCCAGTACCGCCTTCAGATAGTGTGCACCCAGAGCATAGAGACGTCACCTCAACAACCACTTCAGCACCATCCTCAGAGGTGTCTCATTTTGCATCTCCGACGAGGGCCCCAGTACCACCCTTGGTCCATCTACACATTTCTACAGCCTTCTGGCACCTTCAGGATTCTTGTCACAAAAGGGCTTATCTGCATCAGAGGAACTGGAGTCCCCCCTCTTGCAGGTACCAAGAGAAGTTCCCCACTAATACCAGTACTACCATGCCAGCCAGGCTCCTCTCCTCCCCTCTCAGCAGGTCACCCGATACCTGTCCACCAGCACCTGTGGGGTAATGCCTCACTCTCTGGTGTCTCCAGCACCAGTGCCCAGAGCCCCTCCTTTGCATTCTGAGATAACACCTCCAACTCTGAAATCTCAGTACAGGGCTACTCAGCTTACTATTTGACACCTCAGGCGGTGTACCTGGACAAGGACACACCAGAGTCTAGAAGGTACCCCAGACCCTCCAAACATGTATGATCCTTCCATATCCACAACCCCAGTGTGCCTACTGGAATCCCTGGACTGCCTATGTGGACCAATTCTATAGGGTTCCTGCCCACAAGAGAATGACTGGAAGTTCCACAGGCCTCAACAACCACCAACACCACAGCTGCAGTCACCAATACTGCGTGCTTCTCTGGTGCGGAAGGAAGATCAGGAGGAGGATCTACAGAGGAGGAGATACCGTCTTCTCATAAATCCTCCTCTGCCCCAGACAAGGCAGTGGTGCCAACACCTCACTTGTATGTGGATAATATTAGGTCATTTCAGGACATAATGAAGAGATGTACAGGGTCTCTTCAGATCTCGACAGAGGAGGTACAAGAGTCCCAGCACTCTGGTGGTTATTCTTCAAACCACCCCACACAACACAATAGCACTGCCCGTTAATGAGGTGCTCTTATCTCCAGCCCATAATTTGTGGCATATACCTGCCACTTTCCCGCCTACGTGTAAGTGGATGTTCCAAAAAAATTGTATACCAGCCAAGAGGCTGGAATATTTCTTCTCCCACCCCAACTCTCTCGTGGTGCATGCAGTTAATGAGAGAAAATGCCAGAGTAGATCAAGATCCCCATCTTCTGACAGAGGCCTCTTTGGTAGGAAGAGTTATTCTTCTGCTGCTCTTCAGTTCCAAGAAGCAAATTATCAAGCCATGATGGCAAATATGACTTTACTATCCTATGCCAAATTCACTAATTTTATTAACAGTTTGCCACAGGACAAGAGGGAGCAATTCTAGGCCCTCACTTCTGAAGGACAACTGATAGCCAAGACCTCTTTACAAGCTGCCTTTGCTGCTGCTGTTACAGTTTCACCATCTTTAGCTGTTATGTGATGAGGATCCTGGCTCCAATCATCCGGCCTGTCCAGAATACGGTGGAAGACCTCCCTTTCAAAGGGCTGAAGCTGTTCAACAACAATACTAGCGCCTCATTGCGTTCCCCCAAAGATGCGAGAGCAACCCTGAGGTGTCTCGGGATCTATGTACCTGGAACAAAGAGACATTTCAGCAAATCAGACTGCACAACAATCCCAGCTATTCCAACATCAACAGTACTGGGCCTGTTCCAGACCTACTGAATCTCCTAGAAGGAGGCCTGGGCCTCACAAGAAAGGGCAACGATCTCCCTACCTGCACCACCCTCCAAATGACCATTATGGCAACCTCGTCATGGGATACGAACAATGCCCTTCTCTGAAGCCACTGTGCAAGCCTATCCTCCACTCCATCCCCCCTTTGGGGACCGCCCATCACAGTTTCTACCTAATTGGGAACTTATCATCACAGACAAATTGATTTTAGAGGTAATGGCTATGGGATACTCTACCCCTTCCTCCTCTCTCTTCAGGGACCCCTCTCATAAGGATCTCTTAAAACAGGAGGCCCAGTCCCTCCTCAGTATGAGAACGATAGAGCCACTTCCCCCAGAATTTGTGGAAAGAGGATCCTAGTCCAAATATTTTCTGGTTCCCAAAAGAAATGGCATTGGAGGCCAATTCTTGACCTCAGGAGCCTGAACACCCATATTCTCTCACAACACTTCGGATGGTGACTATGGTTATCATCATCCTTCTTTGAGTCAGCGGGTTTAGTTTACTGTCCTCAACCTTCAAGACACACATTTTTCACATTGTAATGCACCCTTTCTACAGACATTTTCTGCACTTCATCATTGGCTCAGAATATTGTCGATATCATGTCTTTCCCTTTCGACTTTCCACAGCCCCCACAGATTTTTACAAAGGTCCTCTCAGTAGGTGCAGCTCACCTACATCAAGACAGTATTTCAGCCTTTCCCTATTTAGATGATTGGCTTCTCTAGGGGTGCTCCACTCTGGATGTCCAGTTGGCAACCAACAAGGCTCTAACCTTGCTTTAGGCCCTGGGTCTTTGTATCAACCTAGAAAAATCCACACTGTCTCCCGTCCAGAGGATAGAGTTAATTGGAGCTTCCCTGGACTCTCAAATTGCTAGGGTCTACCTATCTATCTCCATTATATCCCATCTGGTCACTACCCTACAGCTAAGTCCCTGGCCGACTTCAGCTCCTAGATCATATGTTGGCCCTGTCATTCGCTACACCACACGCAGGACTACATCTTCAATGCCTTTGGGCCTGGCTCAAAATCTCATATATCCCCGATGAAGGTCTGTGTGGGAACCCCATTCTCATTCCTGCTGCCAACATGAATCATCACAATGGATATCTCCCTTCTAGGCTGGGGAGCTACTTACAAGGTTCCACAAACAAGGCAAATGGTGTCCACAAGCAATGTTGCTTTAGAGCTAAGGGCAGTTTGTTATGCCTGCAACGTCTTTCTCCACCCATTTAGGGTCATCATATCAGAGTAATGGTAGATAACAGAGCTGCAATGTCCTATATAAATTGATAAGATCCCAGTCTTTATGCACAGAATTCCTAAAATTGTGGAACTGGTGCATTGCCTGTCACGTAGAGATCTCTGATTTTCCTACCAGGCCTCCACAACATGGTACCAAAGGCTCTAAGTAGAAATTTCCATTAGAACCACAAGTGGGAGCTCAACAGTGTGATCTTTCAGAACATCTGGAAAGTATGGGGCCTTCCCTTAGTGGATCTCTTTGCAACCCTGACCAATACAAAATGTCAATTCTTCTTCTCCAAGGGGAGACTCAACTGCGACACTTTGGTAGATGCTGTAAGGACCAGGACAGGAGTGGTCAAGCCTAATGGTCAGAGCTGGGGTCAGAAGCCAGCAACCAAAGCCAGAGTCAGAATCAAAATCATGCCAAGGTCGGGGCTTAAGTCAGGGTCAGGAGTCACGCCAAAGGTTGAGCCAGAATCAGGGTCAGGAGTCATCCCAAGGGTCAGGACTGGAATCAGAATCAGACAGCCATGCCAAGGGTCAAGCCAGAGTCAGAGTTCAGAACAACAGCCGGTCAGGAGTTCACTCAATTGCTCAGACAACTTCCTTTAAATTATTCTGGCTTAAATAATGCATCTGGGCTGGATATCTCCTCCAATGAGTAGCTTCCTAGGCAGAGCCTATGGTGGGCCAGAGTTCCACTAAACCCCTCCCATGCTGGTTCTGCAGAGCTGTTGGGTGACTGTCATGGTCTATGAATTGTTTGGGGACCTGTGGGCCCACATTCGAGACCCACAATCCTTCACAGGTGTCCTATTAGTTCCAGGGCCTCACTCTCTCCTCTGTTCTTACCTCCAATGCTGTTAATTCTCAAGACATTGATCAAACTATAACAGCAGCAGGTGAGAATCATCTTGATACCACCTTCTTGGTCCAGACAAGTGAGGTATTCAGATCTACATCACCTTTCTATAGAGAGACCCTGGTGGTGCCTCCCTCTCAGATCAGACCACCTGATGCAGAACTCTGGCACCATGAGACACCACCAACCTTCTGTCCCTGAACCTTATGGCCTGGCTCCTCTGTGTTTCTTGGCTTTAGAGTCAGAGTTCAGCAGAGATACAATCTGTACTCCTCAAAAAGAACAGGAGTACTTGTGGCACCTTAGAGACTAACAAATTTATTAGAATTTGTTAGTCTCTAAGGTGCCACAAGTACTCCTGTTCTTTTTGCGGATACAGACTAACATGGCTGCTACTCTGAAATCTGTACTCCTGAATAGTAGGAAGTCCTCCACTCATAAAACTTACTTGCAGAAGTGGAAACATTTCCTTTTCTGGTGTTTTTGTCACTCTATATCTGTTTCTGAAGCTCTTCCTGCAAGGATCCTTGATTATTTGTTTGAATTAAAAAAACAAGAACTATCTATGAGATTTGTCAAGGTGATACCTAGCAGCTATAATAACCTTTAATTCACCTATCCAGAGCCTCTCAGTTACATTCCTCAAGGGTTTAGCTAATCTATTCCACATATCTGGAACCCCACACCTCCGTGGAACCTTGACTTGGTCCTCAATGTCTTAAGGAACTCTGCATTCTGGGCACATGTTTGTTCCTTTAAGACCCCCTTCCTGGTAGCCATCACCTTAGCTAGAAACATGGAAGAAGTTGGAGGGCTTTCGGCTGACCCATCTGACGCTATCTTCTACTGTCACAGAGTCACACCACACCCTCATCCTCTGTTTATCCCTAAAGTTTTATCAGACTTCCATATCAATCAGGATATTCATCTGCCACTATTCTTCCCCAAACCTCACTCCTCAAGAGAAGAGGCAAGCCTTCTCACCTTAGACATTCGGCGGACACTAGACTTCTGTCTGGACCCTTCATGGTTCCCCTAGACCGGTGCTGCGGTGGGTCCATGGGTCTACACCTGCTCATTACAAGCAGGAGGTCGTGTAATGCGCATGTGCAGACCTTTGGACACTAGTAATTCAAATCTCTGGACAGGAGCTTACAGGCTTGCATTCCACCTATGATAGAGCACCCATAGGGACAAAACATCTTGAACAACTCAAGTTATTGAAAGGTAAGTAACCTTACCTGTATATAACATGTAAATTGAATGGGAAGAAAAATTAATTTATTTTACAACAAAGGCACAATGTAAATCACAAAAAAATAGATGAGGGAAATGGAAATGAAAAAAAAAATGTGCTGATGTGTACACAATTCTGTAAAAATACAGCTGTAATCTCTAGCCTTCTGAAGACCTGTTATGCTAATTCACTAATGGCGTATGTTTGGTTTTATGTTAATAAGAGACAGTCTGAGTGTGTTTGTTTCTAAGTGAAACCACATATTGTAAAAGCTTTCCAGTTTATTTTAGGAAGAACTGCTGCTGCTCTCAGAAAGGTTGTGCTGGTTTCCTTACAAATATTAGAGTGGTTTCTTGTGTTTTAGCTGCAACATCTTGTTTTTTAAAGAAATAATTTTCTTTCTCCAGAGGGAAATGCGGGGGAGCATCACGTTTAAGATTGTGCCAAGTTATCGGACTCAGTCTTCATCCTGTGAGGTAATGAATTTAATGAACCATTCCCATCCTTTCTCAGTCCTGTAACTAACTGCCTGCTGATGGCTGAATGTTATTGCTTTCTGGGAAATTGTTTCTGCCTGTGCTGTTAGATCACGCACACCAATTTTACAACAAAGATAACGGAACAGGAGTAGATCCCACCCACCTACTCAGCCCTGCCTTCATATTCATCTCATCAGCACCTTAACTAACCCTTTACAGCCTATGATGTTAAAAGAAAAAGGAAAACCTCTCGAGTGTCTCTTCAGTTAACATGGAAGTATGGGGTCCCCTGTTTTAAAATTCATGATTTAAAATACTTTCTCCAGGAAGTCTATAAGAGTTCCTAAATTAAGAAGCTCGAATAAATATTTCTGCTCTGTTTTAACATGAAAAATGTATGGATTGATTGATTTGGGCTGTTAAGGGTTAATTGAAGATCCTGTTTCTGTATAAACCTGTTCAGGTACATTTGTGATAATTAAATGTCTGTAACAGTAACATGTGGCTAAATATTATGTTTCTATTGGTAATGTATCATTAGTCAAGAAAAACAGGTTTGGAATTCAGTACTCTTTGAATTAGCAAAGTGATGCTGTGGTTTTGCAAGTTTATATAACTCTTCCTTGCACACAAAGCTATTTTCCACGTGTAACTGAAAGGAATTAAAACATTGAAAATGGCTATTAGGGAAGGATATTCTTCCTATTTGGGCTTACAGATTGGCATAAGCACTGTGTAAGCAATGCTATTCTTTCCATGGAGCATGCTTGATTCTTCAACAGGAGGCAGACACCAGGGTGCGATAGAGAGCATTCCATCTCAGTACCAAAGGAGCGAGTTCTACTCCCCATACTTCCAAATCCCCAAAAATGGCAGGGAAGGTGGAGACTCGTCCTGGACCTTCAACAGCTCAACATCTTTATCAGGAAATTGAAATTCAGGATGATTTCACTGGCATCTGTAATCTCCTCCCTGTAGGAGGGAGTGTGGTTCATGGCCTTCAACATGAAGGACTTGTATTTCCATGTGGATAGTCACACATCATAAAGGAAGTTCTTGCGGTTCGTGGTTGGCCAGGAGCACTACCAATTCCGCATCCTCCCCTTTAGGCTTGTGATGGCACCCAGGGTGTTTACAAAAGTATTCACAGCAGTAGCAGCCCAGATGAGATGCCAGAGATTTATGGTGCTCCCATACCTGGTCAACTGGTTCCTGGTAGGACAGTCTCACCAAGAAGCTGTCTCAGCAATACAATCTCTTCAGCACCTCCTTGCAACCTTAGGTGTGTGTGTAAATGAAGACTAGTCTGTTTTGTCATCCACGAAGACAATAAATTTGATAGGGGCATAGCTGGATTCTGTCTCTGCACGAGCTTTGCTCCCTGAAGACAGCTTTTACACAATGAGCACCTGTTCTCTCGCATTATCCACAAGCCTCAAACTACAGTGCATTAGTGCCTCTTGCTGTTAGACCATATGGCTGCATGTACCTACATGACACACTTCATCAGGCTCCACTTGTGGTGCCTACAAGCCTGGCTCCACTTGACCACAGAATCACTGTTCCCTCTGCAGTTCTCAGCTCCCTTGCTTGGTGGTCCAATCCAAACAAAGTCATGGTGGGGACTCCATTCTGCCCTCCCACAAGGGCCACCATCTTGACGGATGCCTTCCTCACAGGATGGGATGTTCATTTAGACTACCATACAGACCAGGGTACATGGACCCCACAGGAGGCCTGTCTCCATGTAAACCTGCTGGAGCTCAGATCAGTCTCCAAGGGCTTCCTCCACCTCATATACTCACTTCATGTACAAATACTATCGGATAATATCACCACAGTTGTCTAGATACCAAACAGGGAGGAGCGAGATCTTGTCCTCTCTTCATGGAAGCATTTGGGCCGTGGAACTGATGTATCAGGAATCAGATTGCCATATGGGCCGCATACCTCCCAGACTTTCAGAATTTCCTGGCAGGCAGACTGAGCTGAAGATTCTGTACAGACCACGAAGGGGAAGTGCATGACACAGTTCTAACCAACATCTTCGCGAAGTGGGTACTCCCCTATAGGAGTTCTTCACGTCACAGTCAGAGAGAAAGCTTCCCATGTATTGCTCCAGGGGAGCCATATGCAGAGACTTGCAGGGCAATGCTCTCCTCATCCCGTGGACAGACTGTCTCAGGTATATCGTTCCCCCTATTCCCCTAATAGCTCAGGTTATACGGAAAGTCCTCTGTGACGGAGTCACTATCATCCTCCTAGCACTCTACTGGTCCAGACAGTTCTGGTTCACAATGTCCTAAAGATGTCCGTGCTCCTGCCCATCAGGATCCACCCATTTCTGGATCTCCTAATCTGAGACCGTGGGACATTCAAGCACTCCAGCCTGGGCTCACTTCACCTCGCGCCCAGGTATTTGGATGGGCATCGGAGATCTGCTGCTCTGCCCCGTCCCAGAAATCCTCAATCAAAATAGGAAAGACTACTAGAGCCTGCTACAAGGCTAAATGGTGCCTCTTTTTGGCCTGGGCACAATGCCACCAACATTCCCTTGACACAGTGGGCATTCCAGTTATCCTTGACTACCTCCTTGCCTTAAAGAAGTCAAGTCTAGCCCTTACTTTGCTGCAGGTACACTTAGCATTCTGTCCTCATGCATCTGGCCCCGATGTGCTTCAATGGGATCTTAATCTTGTCCTGTCAGTGCTCACAGGCCCATCCTTCAAACCTACCGTGACATGTCATAACACACCTCTCCATGAAAGTGGCATTCTTAGTTGCCATCACTTCAGCCAGAAGGGTCAGTGAGCTAGCAGCCATGATGGCAGCCCTACCTTACACAGTATTTCACCAAGAGGAGGTTTCCCTTTGGTTACACCACAAATTCCTCCCCAAGATTATCTCTGAATTCTATATCAATCAAGCAATCCACTTGCCTGTATTTTTTCTGAAGCCTTATGCTTCTCCTGAAGGCAAGAGGCTATGCTCCCTCACCATCAGACGCGTCCTGGCATTCTAGCTGCAAAGAATCAAAGCCTTTAGGATAGGGTTACCATACGTCCGTTTTTTCCCGGACATGTCCGGCTTTTCGGCAATCAAACCCCCGTCCGGGAGGAATTGCCAAAAAGCTGAACATGTCTGGGAAAAATACCTTCCGGGCACTTCTCCTCCCGCGGCTGCTCTGCTCCTCCCCAGACTCAGACTTCGGCTCTGTTTAAGAGCCAAGCTGCCTGAGCCAGCACTACCGGCTTC